ATTGTCCTTTTTCTCTACCATCATCACCATTTGGCTTCATTATTTTTCAACTAATTCTCAATTTGATTTGCCTACCTTTTCTTGCAATTTTTCGTTTTTAAACAGGGGTGTGTAGAATTTTGGCTCAAGTGTTCACACCACCACCCTTATTGATCTTTGTTGGTCCTTCTCAGTATTTAAATTTTGATTTTCTTGTTGCTATTTCTTTTGAAGGGTCTTATTGCTATAATATCTTATTTAATGTTGACTTGTATCCCATTGATTTTGAGATAAATGTTGGTAGCTACAATACAATTATGTATTTAATACAGTTGTCAAATTTGATCTTCTAATATATACTATATGAATTATATATGAAAGTTAGGAGAAAAACTTATGTGGGGCTTAACTTACCACTGGACCATGCTGAGTGACACTACATACAACTCATAACTTGCCATGTGTTAAACATTAAATATGATTTCTTATTTTTCGTTTTATGTCAAAATAAAATTAAAAAGTTAAAGCATTATTTCTTCAAGAAACTAAAATTGCTAAAATAAAACTCACAAACCCCAGTTGGTTCATCTGCAAACCCGCCCATAGACTCTTCTCTCTCGTCGGTCGGTGTCCCTAATTGTTAGGATGCCAGATGGCATCATCTTGTGGTGATAGTTAGAGATACCAAGATTCGACAATTCGTCAAAAGGGACGCATACAGATACCAAGATTCGTGAAGGGTTGAACCCTAATCTTGGCCCCAATTTCGGGCGTCCTGATTCTTGTCGTAATTCCCATCCGCCGTTCATCAAAATGGCGTCTCATATCTCTGTTTTGAAATCGGATGAAATCGTTCTCAACCATCAATCCTTCCACAACGAAAAGATTCAGGCCCGTGAGAAAGTTGATGAATTCTTGTCTCAGTACCGTCCAAAATACAAGCCCAAAAGTCCTCCTTGTTTGCACCCAACATTGAAGAAATTTAAGAGGGTTCGCGACTACGCCAAATACCACGAAGATGGTTCTGCAAGGTTTCGTTCCAATTCCAAATTTCAAGTAAGTTTTGGGGTTTTTCGAAGTGATTTGGCTGGGAAGAATGAAAAGGTTTTCGATTTACTCGACAAGAAAGTTGAAGATTCTGTGATCATTTCTCCAGTTCTTGATTCTGATTGCATGAAATCCAAGATTCAAGCTTGCGTTCTGGGTTCTTCAGTTCCTAACGGATTGGTTGCTGCATTTAGAGATAAATTCGATCAATTCAGGACGTCGCCTTTGTCGAATCGTGAATCTAATTGCAAGAACGACTTGGCCCAAGAATTCATTTTCATAATTTCAGTATCAGATGATGGGTTGGTGAAACTTGATTCACTTGCACTCCAAGTGTTTGATGAAAGGTCACACTCAGCAGATTGTGATTTTCAGTTGGGCTATCACATGCCGATTTCTGACACCGAAGTTACACTTCGTAGGTTCTTTACTTCGAATGTTCAAATTAAAGATGCTCATAGTTCTAAATTTCTTGTTTGTAATGGTGAAGTCATGAAAAATGGTACGATTGTGCATTTGAAGCTTGGTTTCCATGAGTTAATTCTTGACAAAGGTGGAACAACTATTCAAATGCTCCTTAATTCGAAATCTACTGGAAAAGTTGAAGCCATTTTGGTGCACGAAAATGCTTCTGCTCAACTGTTTGATGCACTGCAGCCTTTAGGTGGGTTTTATAATGATGCAATTGTTTCTGTTAGATTTCAGTTCACCTACCATAAAGGAATTCGTGATAAAGGTGGAACTATATTTATCTCTGAATTCAATTCAATGGAATTCTTAGCAATCTGTGAGTTGGGTTTCGTTCTTAATGCGAAAAAGAGGAGTTTTTTGGTGGAAGCTGACCCCTTGATTGTACCTGTTGAGACGACTTTTCTTGCTTTCAATCTGTTTGATAAAATGTGGTTCTCAAGTTGTATTGTTCTCAATTGCGACATGCGCTACTGGAAGGGCATTCGGGATAAGGTGGAGGCTCCAAATTCAGTAAGAAGGATGCTGAGCAGAGGAAGTTGGATGTAGCTTTCATTGGTGCAAGGTACATGCTATAGCTGGGAAATGGGTGTAGTGTTTCGGTGGCAAATGATTTGATCATACAAGTTGGAGACTCCAACTTTTACTTGCACAAGCTTCCGATGGTCATGAGAGGGGTTATTTGTTTGATATTGCTCTCCATATGTGAAAATTGGATTATGAGAAATAAGGGTCGCATTAATGATTGTAAGGAAACAGGCTATTTGAAAATTCATAGGGAAGTTGACTCAGAATGTGGGGAAGCAAAGGAATTAAGATTTCTCCATGGTCAATACCATTGCTCATCTTTTTGGGAGGGTGAAAAAAGAGTTGGTGAACGTCTCATTCTTCAAGATGGTTGTATTAATTTCTTCCAGAAAATTGTCAAGAGTGAAAACTTGAATGCAAATGTTCATGTTCTTTCATACTGTTGGTGTGGTGATCTCATAAGGTCAGCCTTTTCATCAGGGGGTTTAACCGAGCTGGATGTGCGTGCAAATGAGTTTACTTTTAAGGAATCCATCTCCACAGGTAATATTGTTAAGAAGGTGGAGTCTCCTATTGACAAGGTTCAATCTTTCAAAGAAAATTTGAAAAATTGCAGCAATGACAAAAAGAACTTGACCGTTTATATTGGAGACTCGGTGGGTGATTTACTCTGTCTGCTGGAGGCAGATATTGGAATCGTAATTGGGTCAAGTTCAAGCCTTAGGAGAATGGCGGAACATTTCCAAAGATGATGCTACATGAGGACTATACCATGAACTGAAGTTTAAGTTCCAGAAATTGTGAACCTTTAATACATTCTTGTGATTTTGTTGTTTCTGGTTTTATTGCTGGTTTTCGATTGTACTTGGTTCGAAATTGTAAATCTTACTTGTAAGATTGGTTTTAAGGGGGGGTATTGGTGATAGTTAGAGTTGAGTATTAGCATAAATAGTACATTGTAAGAGAAGAAAGGCCGTTAATGAAATGATATTGTTGTTCTATTACTATCTCTCTGTGCAATTGTAGAAGATGTCGAGCTAGGTTCTAACACTAATGCCGTCGATTCTTCTCCCTTACTACTCAACCTCCCCTTCCCTGATTCCCACATCTCTCATCTTTCTCTCCCATGATTGCTTATAACTAATTCAATTTCACATCAATAGGCCATAGTATTTGAAAACTGGAACTACTAACAACTGGTGAAGGAAGGTGGCTTTGGTAATTGGGTTCTTCACCAGAATTTATGTGTCCATAATAATTATTCGATAAGTTATAAAAATACTGAGGTTAGTCAAAAACCTAATTCATTTCAGATGGATTAATGAACCTTGGAACCAGTAATTACACAAATTCTACACAATATCCCAGCAACCATGCAAGGCCGTGAGAGAGATAACCTTGCGATTATGATGTCCCTCAAAGTCAGGCCTTTTAAAAAATTTCTTTTTCCATATAGTTTTTTATATTAAGTTTATTAATTATGATATAAATTGAAAATAAGAAATTATATTAATGCAACAATGCTTAACACACGGCATGTTATGAATGGTATGGTAGTGCCACTCAGCATGATCCAGTGGCAAGACAAGTCTCACACAAGTTTTTCTTGAAAGTTAGATGATTGTATTAAATACATAATTGTATTGTAGCCAAATTCCTATTTTATTTAAGGATATTTGTAGGGATTTTCGCTCCCTGCATATATTGTCCTCCAATTTAATCTTGCATCTATGTTACTAATGCCATCTACTTCGACATTAAATTTAGTGATATATTAGGAACTTCATCCCATATTGTTACTACAATAAGCTTTGAAGCCCTTATTTATTTTATTTATTTGAGGCAATATTTTTAGAAGAAAATGAGAAAGAAAAAAAATTGTGGTTTGTTAGTTGACGTTCAACCACAATTCGATGTCTTGCCAGCTTCAAAATCGTATTGCAGAATATATGAAAGTTGCTAGAGTCTAACTATTTTTTCAATTTTGTTGTTAATTTTAGTTATTATTTTGTTATCTTTCATTTTATTTCTCCAACTACTTTTTATGGTCCATTTTCAATTTTGTTTTTAATTTTAGTTATTATTTTGTTCTCTTTCATTTTGTTTCCAACTCTTTCAATTGTTTTAATTCTAAATTAGCGAAAATAACCAATAGTGAAATACTTGACTAAATTAGAGGACCAGAGCGACTAATATAAGAGTTTATGAACCATATAATTAAACCAAAAAACAATCAAACACATCTCACTACAATTACACCCTTCTATGTTCAAAGCCTCTTATTTTTTTTATTTACCAAAATGATTTTCGCTTCCACACCACTTAAAAATAAATTATTTTACTACTCTTCTATAGCCTTATGTTCTATTGGGAATGTAGTGCTATAGTGTTGGATTTTAACACTCTAATATTGTATTACTAATAGAGTGTAGCACTATTACGTGCCCATTTTTGAGGTGTGACAACAATTACACCCTTCTCAGTTCAAAGGCTCTTTTCATTTCAAAACTCTTTCATTTCATTTCATTGCAAGCTCTTTCATTTCATTGCTATTATAATATAAGTTTTCCCTCTGAATTGTTATTATTATTTAAATACAACGCACTCAAGCAATCTCTTTCTCTCTTCACCATGTACATATTGTGATTGAATTCTCTCTATAAGTATAGTCCTTAAACGGTAAAGAAAAAACATAATCTTTTGGCTAGAAGTTAAATACTGCAATCTCTATCACTAAACATTAACTCAATACCACAATCTTTTGGCTAGAAGTCCATCAAGGTAAAGTCCATAAGTTGAGCTACTTCTAACTCAATACCACAATCTTTTGTCTAGAAATTAAATACCGTAATCTCCATCACTCAACTTCGGTCTACTAACGATTACTAATAATGATACGCTCGCAATTACCAAATTCGTGTACAAGTAAATTCCCGGCTTGTAGGGGCCATGGCTAATTTAGGGGCATTGTTTACTTGATAAGCAGTATTAAGCACCCTCTTCTTCTAAAATCTTGAACTCTCCGAGTTACTCCTTACTCTCACGCAAACTATGGGGGACCGAGAACGACACAGAGACCGGGACAGAGAAAGACGCCGAGACCGCGTCCGCGTCAAGAGCTCGCATACACCCGAGCGCACCAGACCACGCCATACCCGCTCCCGCACGCGCTCCATCTCCCGTTCTCGGACTCCAGACGACAGGTCCCACCGGCGGCGCCAGCACCACGACCGCAGCCTCTCGACGGAGCCACGCAAGCAGCAGCGGCGCGAGTCGACTGTGGAGGACGAGAGGGACAGAAAGAAGGCCGCGGTTTTGGACTTGGTTGAGGGCATCGCGAAGGAGCAGAAAACTCAGCAGAAGCCGAGCAGCGATGGTGATGGTGGTGAGGGTATGGACGAGGATGAGATTGAGATGATGAAGAAATTGGGGATGCCGACTGGGTTCGACTCGACAAAAGGGAAGCCGGTGCTGGGCGCCGATGTAAGTGGCGTTAGGGCTGTCACGAAGCGGCAGCCAAGACAGTATATGAACCGCCGCGGTGGATTTAATCGGCCGTTACCTGCCGAGCGCAGTCGCTAGATTACTGGTTAGGCTTTATAATCCCCTTATTTGCTGTTTCAGTTAGGGTGGAATGTTCTACTTACGCTCAAGTTTACATTATAAGTAGGATGTTGTTGAGTATAATGTCGGTTTATGATTTCTTTTATTCGTGTTAGAATTCGATTTTACTTCAAATTCGAGCTTACTAATTTCTTGTTTTGTGGTGCAATTGACCTAAACTCGTCAACGTTATCTATGTTTTTTTTGTGTTCATCCTTTTGTCAGCTAGAATCTGTATATTAATGTGGGGATCAGTTCCTGATTTTCTGGGTTCTAGCCTTCTAGAGTAAGGTTATTCATGTTTTTAGTATTGGGGGGACGTTTCGTTTTACTTGAGAACTGCGTAGGGTTTATTTGTGGTCTGTAGAATGTCACTGCACTCGGTTTTGTGTCGAGCCTTCTGTTAGATCCAAGCCTTCTGTTAGATCCAAGCCTTCTGTTAGATCCAAGTACTCCAAGTCTTTTCTTAGATTCTCTTTCCAAGTCTTCTTAGGTGTTCCTCTACCCCTTTGCCCCTGATCCTCTGTCTCGTTATCGCATCTTCTAACTAGAGCATCTGTAGGTCTTCGTTTCACATGTCCAAACCATCTTAACCGATTTTCTCTTATCTTATCTTCAATTTTGGCTATCCTAAGATATAGCAAAAATCCTTAATACCGACTAGGCTCAAAAGGGCTTATGGGTTGTTCTCAAGAACACTTGCTCGACAGGGCTTATGTATGAATGCATAACAAGCCGGGATAGGAACTAGGCTTTAACATTTGAAGATGGGTTATGGTTTTGATTTCCTCAATGCAGCATTATTTTCATTGCTAAAAAATCCTTAATACTGACAGGTGTATTCGAGAGGATTGATTTTGGTCTATCTGTTAGTTTGTTTGGAAATTCTTTTATGGAACTCATTTTCCAGTTTCCCAGTTCTGTTTCTCTTATGTTCACCCGTTGGAGCGGAAAATTTCAGGTACTTTAATTCTCCACCCACAAGTAATCTTGAACAACGCTCAAGTTAGTGTTTGTTCAGAATACTTGTAAAATATAGAATAATCTCATATCTCTCTCTTTCCCCCCATTCTTGTGTGATTATGCCTTTTTATAGGCATAAAATGCTTAGACTCCAAGTTCCACTCTCCTTGTATTTCTCCATGTTACACATTCCATGAAAGTGTTCGATCATGCTCCTTCATTCTAACTCTACTCCCCCAAATTTAGGATTAATGGGAAGTGGCTCATTGCTTGAACCTTAATTTTTGCACCCACAAATGCCCTCTTTTTTTCTCTGCAAACTCATATCATCTTAGTTTGTATAAGAAACATATTTCTTTTGCAAAAATTCATGTGACGTCATTGGTATGATACCAACAAACATGTGGATGATCTTCAAATATGAGTTTAGCCTTTGGCTATGATCACACTATAATTTAGCCTTCGGCCATAATTCAAACTAGGGTCTTCGCCCTCAGTCTTGGGCTTTGGCCATAATTCAGTCTAGGGACTTGAACCCTCGGTATTAAGTTGTCGGCCTTTTTGATCTTTGGGTTTTGTAACCTATATTTATGTTCTATCTCAAGCCCTTTGACCCCATTTGATCTTGGGTTTCGATTTAAATTCGGTCTTAACCCATTTGATCTTGGGTTCTCGATCTTAATTTGGTCTTAACCCATTCAATTCTGGGTTTCAATTTAATTCAGTCTTAACCCATTTGATCTTGGGTTCTCGATCTTAATTTAGTCTTAACCTATTCGATCTTAATTTAGTGTTAACCCATTCGATCTTGGGTTTTTTATCTTAATTCGGTCTTATCCCATTCGATATTGGGTTTCGATTTAAATTCGATCTTGAGTTTTCGATCTTAATTCAGTCTTATCTCATTCGATTTTGGGTTTTCAATTTAAATTCAATCTTAACCCATTTGATCTTTGGGTTCTCAATCTTAATTCGGTCTTAACCCATTCGATCTTGGGTTTCGATCTTAATTCGGTCTTAACTCGTTCGATCTTGGGTTTCGATCTTAATTCGGTCGGAACTCATTTGATCTTGGGTTTTCAATCTTAATTCGGTCTCATCCCATTTGATTTGTGTTTTCATTCTTGATTTAGTCTTAACCCATTCCATCTTAGGTTTTCGATCTTAATTCATAAACCTTGGCTTAATTTTATGTTTTCACCTTTTTGGTCTCAAATTCACAAACATCAGTTCATAATTAATCATGCAATTCATAAGCAAGCATTATAAAGATGGACCGTAGCATATATGCGGGTTGGTACGGTACCCATAGTTATCGTGCCTTAAACGTTCGCATCCTGAATTATGCCAGCAACAACGTTCAAGCGCAAGGGAAATCATCAAAGCGATGTAGCCTTGTTTCATTCATGATATTGGGGATCTGAGGTGGCATGCCGATCATCATGATCTTGCCTTTATAATTATTCTGTTCAAACACTCCTCTCAGGCAACTTTGTCGCCACTGGAGTTGATGCAGAGTGTTTTTCTTTTGCTCAAAAGCCTTGAGTACACACCCTATAAGTGGCTTTTCAATCTTCATGTTTAGCATACTGAAAATTGTCCATATAGCAATAGACATGAATTATTGTTACTGGGGTATGATCATAAGTCAGTTATTCACAATATATAATAGCATTACTTGTACTCGTAGTCCCACCATGCAAACTTTCCTTGTAGAATTGCCCCTAGTCCAAGCTTGTCATGTGTCCCCACATGTTGCTCAACGTTCTCTTTCTGCAATGGTGTTTCTTCCTCTGTTTGGTTCCTTATAGCAGAATAAAGGGACGATTCGAGATGGTCCTAGGCTGCAACTTCACCCAATGTAGTTTGACCATTGTAGTATATCTATCCCATTTGAATGCAAAGTCTCATCGCCAATTATGGTTCGATGATAGGGTCTCCAAACCCAACTATCCATGTGCGTACTCCAAATGATTCACTTATCGTGAAAGTCACTTCCGAATAAAAGCACTTGAAAAGATTTAGATCTTATAACATCCAAGTATGGAAATATAGTCGAGTCAAAGTAAGCTTGATATTCAATCCTTTGACGAGTTCCAAAGAATCTGATTCAAGAGTGATTGACATGTAATTTATTTCTTGACCAATTCAAGAAATAGAAAGAGTTTAGAAGTTCTGTCTAAAACGTAACATGGACTATACACACATTCTAGTATGAACTCATATAAGATTATTCTTTTTCATACTAAGATTATTCTTCATGCAGAATTTAAACCCGGTGAAAGATTTTTCTTTGTAAAATTGTAAAGCGATAGAGGATGGGTATGCAAATTTCTTTAACATTTTATGACGAAAATATGTAATGATAGAATTTGTATTTTAATGGAAAATCGTAAAATAGCTGGAGGAAAGAAATTCTTCTCTACGTTTGGTGTGTAAATTTGTGCCCTCATTGTTGCTTGGATGGCATTCATGCCTTCTCAAGGTGACTTTTTGTACGATTCCAGTGTTGGGCCTTCGGCCCTAATTCATTCTAGGTCTTCAACTGACGGTCTTATGATTTTCGATCATGAATTTATGTAGTAATAGCGTGCTCCAAGCCATGAGTGCTTGCCGAATAATTTCTTTTCAATATGCAACCAAACGATGTGTAATATAAGCATTTCCACCTTCTCTCCATATTCTCATAAATTGGAACACGATTCATTATCTTTGATCATAGTAATCAGCAGCATGCATTTCAAGTGAGCGATGAGCATGATTCATATTATCCCCAGCTTTGGTAACACAATCTGCTAGGAGGTGCTTCTGTGCCCCCACTCCACAATGGATCTCCCATAGGTACTTGGTTAGTTTTCCTGTTTCGCTTTGTAGGAATTTATTGTCACTTCATGCAATTGTCTTTCTCTAGATAGGATTGAATGCAGTGTTCTTTCCTTTGTTCCCCTCACTTTTGGGCTTTTTTTTCTCTTCTTTTTTTTTCTTCATGCCTCATTTTTAGCAACTATGTCCCTTTTTTTTTGTCTTCAACTGGTTTCAAAGCAAGCTCCTGATATTCACGTGGAGTTAACGTTCCACAATCTTCTGATAAATTTAGATAGGAGTCCCTCAAAAGACACACGAAGATTGGGGAGAACTGCCCAATTTCAGAAGCTTTGGTTCCTCCAGAAGCTTTAACACATACATGCTCGGTTATTTGAGTGACGAGAGAGATACGATCAAGTGAACCTTCATCTATTCCACCCATATGGTTGTAAATAAGCATGATAGATAGGAGAACCGCTAAGGAAAATATATGTGCGCCATACGTTTCCGTCTGATCAAAAGCGTCATTATCCAATAGTAATAGATTGTTTTCTGTCTCATCCAGTGCAGTTCTCTTCAATGGTGCATTCCAACACCATAGCCCTTTTGTACATGGGTGATGTGTAAATGCTACTTGAAACCTGCCACTCCTTCCGAAGTTCCAAAAAGCTGGTTAAGAATAAAGCTCTTGCCCTGGCAGGCATGGCCACAACTGACGATACCAATGGGTTACGAGCTGCAACATGGAGACAACCTCTTGATCCCTCTGGAACTTCCCATTCTTGTTGAGCAGACGAGCCGTATCGGCTTCGGGGGAACCCGATCGCAAAGACAAGGAAGAGAATGATGGCAACGGCGATGCCGGTTAAGAGTCTTCTTCGCCTCTGAAAATTTTCCCATGTTTTACCCTCTGAAGTATTCCTATGTTTTTCCGTTGCTCTTGGTTACAACGTCGTGTAGTGATTGTGCTTTCCTTCATCCAGCTAACTGAGAACAGGGGATAGAAACAGTCGAGGGTTTTAATTTAGGCACAGAGAAGAATAGAAAACTTAACCAGGTTTTTAGCCCGTGCCCCCATTGTGGTGTGGGTGAAAGCGTGACTTCTCAAATACGGCTTTTTGTACGAATTCCCACAGATGGCATCAACTGTTGGAGCGAAAAATTTCAGATACTTCAATTCTCCGCCAACAAGTAATCTTGAACACGTTGAGCAGCTTTAGACACCATCTTTGCTCACCATCAATAAGGGAGAAGGGGGACCTACAATAAAACACTCTGACACTCAAGTTAGTGTTTGTTTAGGATACTTATAAAATGTAGAACGATCTTGTTCGGGCAAGATTTTCCTCGCACAGCTCTTCACGAGTGTGGCACATAGTTGGTTGTCGGGTGAGCTCTTGT